GACTAGATAGCTTCACGGCTGAATTCTACCAAACATTCAAAGAAGAATTAATACCAATACTTCTTAAACTCTTCCCAAAAATAGAACTAGAGGGAATACTTCCAAATACATTTTAAGAGGCCAGCATTACCTTGATACCTAAGCTAGACAAAGACACTGCAAAAAAAGAAAACTACATGCAAATGTCTCTGATGAACATTGATGCAAAAATCCTCAATAAAATATTAGCAAACCAAATTCAACAGCACATCGACAAGATTATACATCATGACCAAGTGGGAATTATACCTGGCATGCAGGGCTGGGTTAACATATACAAATCAATCACTGTGATACATCACATTAACAGAATGCAAGATAAAAACCACATAATCATCTCAGTTGATGCAGGAAAAGCATTTGGCAAAGTTCAGCATCTTTTCTTGATAAAAACTCTTAGCAGTTTAGGTATACAAAAAACATTCCTCAACATATTCATAATAAATATCATTTATGAAAAACCCACAGCTAACATTATAATCAGTGGGGAACAACTGAAAGCTTTTCCACTAAGATCTGGTACAAGGCAGGAATACCCACTCACCACTTCTATTCAACATAGTACTGGAAGTACTAGCAAAAGCAATTAGACAAGAAAAAGAAATAAAAGTCATCTGAATTGGAAAGGAAGAAGTAAAATTATCTTTATTAGCTTTTTCTACATAAAGGATTATGTCATCCTCCATAATCCTCTGTGTAGAAAACCCTAAAGATTCCCCCACAAAACTGTTAGAAATGATAAATGAATTCAGTAAGTTGCGGGATACAAAATCAACTATAAAATCAGTAGCATTTCTATACACAAATGATGACCTAAGCTGAAAAAGAAATCAAGAAAAGAATCCCATTTATGATAGATAGCATAAAAAATACTTAGGAATAAATTTAACCAAGGAGACAAAAAATTTGTACATCAAAAACTATAAAACATTGATGAAAGAAATTTAAGAAGACACAAATAAATAGAAAGATATCCTGTGTTCATGGTTCAGAAGAATTAATTGTTTAAATGTCCGTGCCACTCAAAGCAATATATAGATTTAGTACAATACCTATCAAAATTCCAGTAACATTCTTCATATGGAACTACAAAAATCCCCAAATAACCAAAGCAATACTGAGGAAAGAAAAAGTTGAAAGCATCACACTTCCTGATTTAAAATTATATTACAAAGCTATAGTAACCAAAACAGTATGGCACTGGCATAGAAACAGAAACAGGGATGACTAGAACAGAAGAGAGCCCCAGAAATAAATCCAAACATATATGGTCAACTATTTTTGGCAAGGGCACCAAGAAGACACAATGGGAAAAGGATGGTTTCTTCAACAAATGAGGCTGGGAAAAGAATGAAATTGTGCCCTTATCTTAGACCACACACAAAAATCAACTCTAACTGGATACAAAAACTAAATGTAAGACCCAAAACTCCTTGAAGAGAACATCGGAGAAAATATCCTTGACATTGTCCTTGGCAATGATTTTTTGGATATTATAACAAAACCTCAGGCTACAAAAGCAAAAATAAATAAATGAGACTACATCAAACTAAAAAGCTTAGGCACAGCAAAGGAAACAGTTAACAAAGTGAAAAAGCTACAAACCTACAAACTGGGAAAAAATATATGCAAACTACATATCTGATAAGGGATTAATATCCAAAATTTATAAATAACTCTTACAACTCAATAGCACACCCATATTCACTGCAGCATTATTCACAATAGCCAAGGTATGGAAACAACTTTGGTGTCTGTTGAAGGACAAATAGATAAAGAAAGTGTGGTGTATATATATTTTATCTATCTATCTATCTATCTATATATATACACACACATACATATACACAATGGAATATTATTCAGCCTTTAAAAAGGAAGGAAATCTTACCCTTTGCAACACAAATGGACCTGGAGGACATTATGCCAAGTGAAATAAGCCAGACACAAATAAAAATATTATATGATCTCACTTATATGTGGAATCTAAAAAAAAAAAGTCAAATATACAGAGATAGAGAGTAGAACAGTGGTTACCAAGGATGGAGGGCGGAGGGAGAGGAAATGAGATGTAGGTCAAACGAAGCAAAATAGCAGATGTGTAGGATGAACAAGTCTAGAGATCTAATGTGTAACATGAGGACTGTAGTTAATAAAATTGTATTGTATTTGAGAGTTTTGTTAAATAAGTAGATTTTAGCTGCTTATCACAAAAAATAACTGTGAGATGATAGATATGTTAATCTGCTTTACCATAGTAACCATTTTACTATCTGTATGTATTCCATAACATCACGTTGTAAACCTCAAATATACATGTATTCACAATGGAATTTATTTTAAAAAACACCCTATAAGTGTCCTATCTTTGAAGGTATGATTAGAGATGTGCTGCTTCACTAGAGAAGCGCATCTAGGATCTACATCTAGTCTTGCAGCAGCTACTGAAGATTTCAGGAAAAAAATACACAATTTTCAGATATTCTATATACTGATAACATGGGAAATTGAATGGGCTTAGAAAATGGTAGTTTGTAGAGAAATGTAATATAGCTGTATATATAAATTACCAAACTAAATGGATTTCAAGTAAGCATTTAAAATTAATATCTGGTTTCATATCTTGCAACAGCATCTCCGTTATCTCTATGATATCCTGTAAGACATAAGGGAAGAAGAGTATAATTTCTGTACCCATTCTGTGGACAAAATCTCAGGAGGTTATGAGACCTACTCAGCCATAACCTTGAGTGGGGGGTGGGAGTTAAACTCATCACTCAGCCTTGACTATGTGGAAAATCCTTCCTCTAACATTTAATTCTTCATGTTTGCAACATCTTGGCACCTTTAATGAAATTAAAATTCCTAATGGCACGCAGAAAGATTCAATTGATTTCTTCCTGCTAAAAGTAGAATACGTTTTGCCATAACATCCTTCCGAAAGTGCAGGCATTCATCTCTTCTGATTGTGTGTCATACATCTGATCGTGTGTCCACAGGTACATCTTATGGAATGAGTTAAAGGACTAAGTGTCCGTAGAAGTGGGCACACCCAGGGAAATGGGGCACATTTGGAGTTATGTTGCTCTTTAAATATATTTACAGAACATGACCATTCTGAGCATGTTTTTAATTAGAGGGGAAGATGATAGTGACGGGGAGAAATGGAAACAAAGATAAATAAACTGATGTTTTGAATACTTGCAATGTGCTAGGACCCTGCGCAGCACTTTTCATACATTACCCCATAATGTATGGGGTAACAACTCGGTGATGTAACTGAGGAATAAAATGGTTAAAAAAGCTTGACCAGTATCACACAGTGAGTAAGTTGTGGGGCTAATTTAGACTCTAGATGGAAGGGGGCAGAACTTCTGAGTAAAAAGGCAAAGATGTGTAAAGAAGCAACTTTGAGGAGTGTAGAATAGAAGTTTAGGGAAATAGTTGCCTGTATCTGTTAAAATATGAAGATATGGGACAAGAAGAGAGAAGGTACTTGGGATAAACGGAAATGATTTGTAAAAGGCACTCTGGGAAATTCATTGAGGATTCTTGAGAAGTTGTGAGGACCAAGGTGAAGTTGAGGATCTTCATTCTTAGGGGGAGCCGGTTTGTGTGATTTCATGACTGCCCCCGTCAATGCATGGCAGTGTGGGGACAGCAGCCCTAAGAGCAGATGATGGTGGTGTCCTGAGATTGGCGAGTCTCAGCGTGGGCATAACAGGGCGTCCAGAGGGCTAGTGATTGTTAAAGAGTGTTCAAGCTGACATCAGACTGTTAGGATTCACACCCAGCCTCTGTGGTGTGACCTTGGGTAAGGTACTCCATCTCTTCCAGTTTCAGTTTCTCCATTTGGGAAATGAGAGTAATAATTCCATATAAAGTGTGCAATGTGGTATATGTAAGTTTCAACAAATATTGGCTTGTGTTATTGTGCTAACAAAGGCATGGCTCGAATGGTGGGCCACAGGGTCCTTTCTGGGATAAGAGACCAATGAAACTGAAATAGCCCGATGGCCTGATATGAATTAAGTGAGGCAGGCATCAGGATAGGAGTGAGAAGCAAGTTCAGAGTCAGCTTGATGGAAGGGAAGGAATTTGTGGACTAAGGAGGCTCACATTTGATATTTTTGAAAGATGGATTTTAAAGGCCAATAATATTTAAGGTATGACTGTGCCAGGTACTAGTTAAAGTGAAATAAAGAGGAATGTTGTTGGAGTGGAAGATGTCAAGGACCTTGGATGTTGTCAAGTAATTCAGACGTTGTTGATGAACTCCGAGGTTATCGGCCTGTATGCTTGAGTGGCATCATGGACAGTGATCTAGAGTGCTAGAACAGGCTTTACTTTTGGAAACCAGTGTGCATTGGTGTTAAAATTCGGATAGAGACTTCTTGAAAATGATGGACACAGCCAAGAACATAGTGCGGTGCCTGGGTGTAGGGGATATAGGGGGATATTTGTCATTCTCTGATCTGACAAGCATAAAAAACACAAAAACTAAACAAAATGATTTACTTTTTAAGTTTTGTGAAAGGTAGAAAAGGTAAGATGTTAAGGAAAGGGCTGTATTTATTTCTTTGAGGTCTTTACTTTTCCTATACAACAAGAGAATTGTTGGTAAGATCTACCAGGCAGTCTTGCCCACCTACTGGAATGGGGCTATTGCTATTCCTTTTAGTGGCACACAGTGATGGTGCTATATTCTAAGGCAGCATTGTCCAGTAGAAATATATTATGAGTCACATATATAATTTAAAATTTTTTAATAGCCACATTACAAAAGTAAAAAAAGTAAAATTAATAATATATTTTATTAAACCTACTATATCCAAAATATTATCATTTTAACATGTTATCAGCATAAACATCATTAATGCAATCTATTATGTTTTTCTTCTAACTCTCCAAAATTTGGTGTGCATTTTACAATTATAGCACATCTCAATTTGACTAGCTACATTTCAAGTACTCAACAGCCAAATGTGACTCGTGGCTATTGAATTCGACAGTGCAGCTCTAAGGATTGGAATATAAAATAAATCAAGAAATGATTTTTGTTCAGTAGAAAGTTACAATGTAGTTGGCAAGTAAGATTCATGCACAAAGCTATCTATCTATCCTTTATATTTTAGATCTTTCAATCTACTTATTTATTTGATTCCCAAGCTTGTTGCAAAAAAATATCTAAAGTGGCTCAATATATACACATTAAAAAGAAAAAAAAGAAAAAAGAAAAGGAGAAGAAGTATTGATTTCATGTTCAATTCATGTTCAATTTTTAGTTAAGCTTCATTTTAAAACTTTGGGAGTCACGAGAGATTGTGAGTTGGGGAAAATAATTAATTTACCCTGTTAAACTCGCATATCAATGAAGCAGCAGAGCTGGGAGTAGAAATCATATTTGATTTCTCTAGGTGCACTTGGGAGGCTGCAGTGTAAATCTGGGATCTCTCACTTCTGTCAAATGCATATCCTGTTTGTGTCTCATGTCCCGAATAAAGCTGATTACATAACCGGGTCTCCCTGGCAGGTGTGAAACTATTTTTAGGGAAGACGTAGCATTGCTTAGAAGTGGATTAAAACAAACAACGATGTTGGTTGCCAGTCTGCATAGAGCAGGTGAGGCTGACCAAAATTCCTGCACAGTGGATGACAGCATAAGAAATAGCAAGGGTAATTGAACTATGAACCGTTGCTCATTGTTTAGAGAATAAGTGAATCTCTCATGCGTGGTGGGAGAGGATGGTAACATTTCTCTGGTTGAAACTCCTGAGACTTTTTAAAAAATGCATTTTTTTTTTGTGTTCAAATTTTAGGTCCTGCACCAGATGTTGTCTCAGACAAAATCTATCAGATCAGCAAAACAATCGAGGAATATGCCATATGTCCTGATCTTCGAATCGATTTATCTCGACTAGGAAGACAAGAATTTGATTTGGAGAACAAATTCAAACCGTTCAGAGGTAATAGAGGAATTCTATTTTGAAGAAGTCAGAGTAACTCCATCGACAGGGGTGATTGTAGTTTCTGCAGGGAAGCGTATTCGTGAAAATGATTGAATTATCAGTCTCGGGAAGACTTTTGATAAATATGTGGACACTGAATGTGGTGCAGAGAGAAATGAGAGTAGCCAAGATATTCGGAACTAGAGACTTTCAAAAACCACTTCTCAAACTCTATATAATTTTCAACATAGGAAAAATTTCATGGTTGACTCCATTATAGCATTGCAAGAATAGGCTGTGAATTGTGAAAACTTGTCTTTGATTTTCTAAGCAATGAAGGTGAAGATGCTGGAATACTTAGATAGTTAAGAAGAGACCTAGCAAGTCAATGGGGTTATTAAATTTCTCATAGAAGGTAGGAAATTCTTTTCTAAGCCAGAACCATGCAGATCAGCTTAATTTAATGCACAATCTATTGATCACTTGCTTTATACCAGCACTGTTAGGAGATTTTACAAAGGAATTCAGTAACTACCAAATGTATTTTACTCAGATGAATCAAAAAGTAAAGAACCAAAATGAGATTGCCAAAAATATTACATTGCAGAGTGAATACAACTTCTAAAGTAGACAGAACATAACTTTTTATATTATAGATTAATTTCAAATCATACAGTAACAACATTAATACCATGTATGTACACATCATTCATCCCCTCTATTTTATCCTGTTGCTTTTTCCTAGAAGGCATGCAAGTAGCAATAGAACTAACATGTTTTACTCTGTTAGTGCCCCTATAAGCTTGAATACAATATTGTGCTAAGATGGTATTATTTTATAAGAAATTTAACTTAGCTAAAAAGATACCTGGTTCATGGCCACATGGTATTTTAGGGGCAGAGAAAAGTTTAAAATGGACTGTTCAGGGGTCTTAATGTTGGACCGATGCTACCAAATCTTTCTTGAAAAGTTTTGAGTCAATTGTTTGCTTAGCTAGTGTGCAGAAATTTATTGAAAGTCATGTGATGCTCACTGGAAGCAATAGTGACTGCTTTTATTAATCTAGCTGAAAGCATGCACATGCATATGCATGCACACATATGGAATGGCTAGACAGTGGAAGGCAAGGGATATGTTTTATAAACAAAATGATTTGAGTATGCCTGATTACATATGTTTGGAAGGACTGCGCTATAAGATGACAGAAAAATCAGGCATTGCCATCAGGAAGTTGTTTTCTTTCTTTCTCGCTTGCTTGCTTTCTTGCTTTCATCTTCACGATTTTTATAGTTGTCCAAGAGAACCAAATCTTTGGTGAGCTCAGATTCAGGCCCATTGCTGCAGCCACATTGCTAGTTGGATGAATTTTCTAAACTGTTACCAATACCAGGAAGTGGGTGGAGGGATTCCCTGGATCTCGAGAAACAATTTGGAGATAGTCATTTGGGATAATTTATGTG